TATTAGAAATATTTTAATATTCTAAAAATGATTTTATTCTTTGTGATGACTACAAGAGATTTATGTTGTCTACTGCTTGGCAAGCTATCTAGTTTGTCCTTCATCTAAATTAGAGTTAATATAGATGGCGTATAGGTTATGTTTTAAGAAAATTGAATTGTATCTAAACGGCATGTCTTTGTCTAAGAGGCCCAAAAAATATAAATGTTATGGTCATTATGGGATTCATGTTAATAATATTTAATGGAAGATTATTAGAGTGTGTAGTTGGTTTCCGGATATATGCAGCTTACTTGAGTCTCTCAAGCAGTCAGCTTCTTCTCCTTACCTATATGTAGGTCGATTCTCAACTTAGGTTTTTCAACCACATTGATTCTCTCGGTTCTTCCTCTATCGCATTTTCTTTCCTCTTCTTTTTACCTACAATTCAAGTTTTTCCAGGCAAACATTATATCATAGATACATACTCAACAACCACTCCACGAACTATGTCACAAACAATCATTTCCCTCCACAAGACAAAAGAGACCAACATTCCCAACTATGTTAATTTCCTGATCAATCACATAAAGAATAGGACAAACCAACCACTGACATATGAAATTTATCAAGTTTTGAAGGTAAAAAATTAAAAACTATTCATGATTAGTTATTTTAAATTGCTTTTAGATCCCACCACTCTCATTCCTTCAAGATTTAGTCAAGAAGAAGCTGACAAACAAGAAGAAACTATTGAATATTATCAATCAAAACCTTGCATCAGCCATTCTCTCAACCATCTCCCCCTCTATTACCTCGTATGTTCTCCATCTTAACAATACAACAAAAATTTGTATTTTCTTAGAGAAACAATTTTAAGCAACAAATCAATTTCAAGTCAATCAACTCAAGAATGAACTCCACCACACATGGGCAACAATACCATGAATCATTATCTTACTACTGACAAAACTATGGTTGATAATATAATTTTTGCAAACTCCAAGATAAACAATGAAGACCTCGTTCTTCATATACTAAACGATCTCCCTCCCAGCTACCAAGACTTCAAGACTGATATTCCCACTCAATTACATCTTACTGAGTTAGAAGCACTTCATTCTCTTCTCCTCCAAGAGGAAAGCTGAGGAAAGCAATCTTGCTAATGATGCCAACAAAACAACCCCCCAATGGTTCTTTTCGCTTCGAAGAATAGAGTCTTGCAAAACAATCAAAGAAACTCCAACAAAATCTTCTCTCACAACAGGCAACTAAATTCCAACACCACTAGCAAACAAAAATCCTCTGTTTCTTGTTAAAATGTTACAAGAAAAGACATACAACTGTCAATTGTTGGCACATGGCAAATCTCTAGTATAAACACACCGTTCTATCCCCCAATACAACCCTCCACACCAATGCTCACACTCCACAAGAATGAATTCTTGATATAGGTGTCATAGCTCGCATCAACCCACATCTTGAAAATATGCAACATCCCACACTATACCAAGTTATAGACAAAGTGGTGGTATGAAATGAGCAAGTTGTTGATATCTCCCACACTAGTAAGGATGTATTACCTACTCCCAACAGTAAGCTCGCACATGATAACAACTGTCAAATTGTTTTTTCACCTAGCCATTTTCATATACAGAATCTTAAAACCAAGAAAACTATGTTGACTTGTCCTGTTAGTCAAGGGCTTTACTCCACTACAGCATTACATCACTCTGATGTTCCCTCCAGTACATGCCATCAATGGTTGGGACCTCATCGCAAGATTCTCACTCAAATCTTCAAATAAACCTCCAACTTCACTTCTCTAACAATCATTTAGGATGTCTTGTTTTTTTTAAAAAAAAAAGTCATAAACTATTTTTTTTTTAATTCTAGTACTACTTCTTATTGTTTACTTGATATGATACGTACAGATGGTTGGGGTTCATTTTCTCATTCTTTAATGAATGGTTATACATATTATGTTATTTTCATTGATGCTAATTCACGTTTTTGTTGGTGCATTCCCATGAAGCACAAATTTGAAGTTACTTATCATTTTTAAATTTTCATAAACATATACAGACTCGCTATAATAAAAATATCAGCATCTAAGATCACATGGTGATGGTGAATATTAATCATCTTATTTAATCTATTACTTACAAAATCACTATATTATACATCATTTTAGCTACCCCTACTCACAGAACAAAATTATTTGGCTGAACACAAAAATAGTCATCTTGTAGAAATTGCTTACCTCAACACAGCTAACCTTCCATCACATTTCTAAATAGATGTCATTCTTACAGCAAACAATCTTATTAATAGGTTAACTTCTCATGGTACTCATTACAAATCATCTTTTCAACTTTCAAATAACACCAAACCAGAATATCAACACCTTAGAATTCTTGGATTTGTCTGCTTTCCACAACCATTTGTTTCAAATAAATTCAGGCTGAGGGCTCCCACTTGCATTTTTCTAGGTTATTGTCATCATCATAGAGGTTATAAGTATCTTGATACTAATAAGCAAAAACTTTTTATTTCTCATCATGTCAAATTCATAAAAAATTATTTTCCTCTTCAACTAATGGCATGTTTGGGGCAATTGTAGCTGTTTGAAGAAACAACTGTGAAACTACTGAAAAAGACGTTGTTCAAAAATTTTCGATGGCTATTACAATTTTTTTTAAGAAATCTAACCAGAGCTTTCTAGCAGTCATTGCAGGTTTTAAGGTATGATAGGAAAATGCATTTTACAGCTGCAACTTTTTGAAAATGCAGGAAAAATGTAGTTTTTCCAAATAGAAAAAACTGTGGTGGGACATTGCACAGCTGCCCCAAACGCACTCTAAGTTACCTGAAGACTCGAATAAAACCATTACTTCTTCCTTCATGCTTCCCACTTCCACTATTTGCAACCCCTTTCCCATGATCAACACTTAACTTGTCTCACTCTCTCTATCTCATTCTCACCTCTCAACTTCTAACACTACTCAATTATCTTCTCCTCCATCACCAGACCCGTCAACCATTCTACCCACACCTCTGGTTCCTCTACCATCCAATGCTTCCTCCATACCCCAAGCACTCATTCCATGACAAATTGATCCAAAATAGAATCATTAAAACCCAATAAATTTCTTAATCTTCAACATCTTAACATTTACGACACTCCCTTCACCTTCTCTCAAGTCATGAATCAGCTTCATTGGAGACAAGCAATGTTGGATGATTTCCTTGCACTTCAACAACAAAGGCACATGGTCTCTTATTCCTTCAATTAAAAAGTTTTTTTATAGCATGCAATTGTTTTTCTACTTGGATAACATTTTTTTAAGCTATCAAGAAAACTATTTAGTTGAGAGGCCTAGTTGGAAACTAGAGCCTGCATTAGGACAACTTAATGATTTTTTTTAGATAAGAGCACAATTCACTTGGAGACCAAAAGTGCTATGAGAAAATCAAGCATATTCATATGAACTACCATTTCATCAAGGATAAATTTATCTCAGAAATTTGCATGGTGCATAATTTCATGGACATGTTTACTAATGTGATCCCTATTCTCAAGTGTTGGCAATACCTGAACTTGATTTGTTTTTGTAGCCATTGATTCCATTTATGGAATCAGGTGGGGAGGCCAATATTGATTGAGTATATCTGGCTATTTACTTTATTTCTTTATTGATAAGAAGAATTTGATATTAGGTAAAAAAATTGTTGGCATCATATCAAATTATAAAGGGTGATTTTACAATTCCCTCTAATGCCCTAATTTAATCTTATATAACCAATGGCTCTAATGCTAACGATGGAGTTAAAGATAAATAATTTTTTCAAGGAACCATGCATGAGAACATAGAGAAAAATCAAATGTTTCCAACGTATCAATTGGGTTGGAGAATGCGACTTCCCCGTGCAAGAAAGAAGAGAATTGGGGAAAATTGAGGGATTATTGGTTTCTTCTTTTTTGCTAAGAGAACTAGTGGAAAAAAAATAAATTTCTCTTATCTTCGTTTTATCTCTCTTTGAGAAAGATTGCTTCACATTTGGTTAAATTTTTGCCACGCCTCCCTGGTAGATTTCTGTTAAGAAATTTTGTACATTTTGGTGCAATTATTTTGTACTCCCACATATAATTGAAAGTGAAATTATTTGTTCCTCCTAGTCATGTGGATGCAAATCAATCTTGACCAAACCACATAAATTATGATCCTCTTGTATTTATGGACTTGTGCATAATATTTCAATATCATATATATGCATAGTGCTAATTTTGTTTTGCCTAGGTAAATCACATAGCTCCCTTTTGTGCTTGCGAAGAGAGATAAATTGGCTGCTTTCATTACAACAAGAACAAAAAAAATGATCAAAAAAACTGGTAAGCACCATCTTCCTAAAGAGTTAAAAGAGAATGTACTTTCACCTGATCATAACCATAAATCGCCTATGAACTCTGATGCAACATAGCCCCTGGAATAATGATCATATGCTTTAAATAGTCATAAGCATGGCAAGAGTTTCCCATGCAATGGAAACGTAAAATCTTATTCTTTTCAAGCAAGATTTCCAACCTTGAAAATATTAATATCATGAGCAAGGGTGGAGGAAAACTACTTGTCAAATAAAAAAACATCAGCCAAATTTAATTTAACATTCACCTTTTTCTGTTGAAAAGACCAATCAGCATCTGTTCAGCCTTGCTAAGACCTCTGTTCTGCTGCTGAAGCTTCTTTTGCATATCCTGAAGTTCGAAGCCAAAGCGAAAGATGAACATGTAACCTGCAAGCTTAGAGATAAAAGGAACACCGAAGAATAAAAGATAGGTGAGGAAGTTCATTTTCTGTCCCGTCTCCTTACACTGTTGTAAATGCATATATATGAACAGATATTATGTAACCAACTTTCTGAGGTAGTTATACTTATGGGACAGGTGTAGAGGTCTGATTTGCTACCGAAATTGCAGGCAGCGAACCACCTGAAAACCAGCATAACTGTGTGCAAGAAGGTAGTATGTATTGATCTTATTATTTTCTAGTTGTTTTCTCAGAAACACACTTGGAATATATCAAATGTTAAGTAAGCAAAAGGTACAACAAATTTAGTAATAGTAACTGTACATCTTACATCTTCCTTGAAATAAAATTAACCAATTCTACTTTTACATAAATATGTTAAAAAGTGAACATTGGCAAATTCTAGGCTGAATTGTAGAGAAAACTGCAGCTATATACTTATCTGAGTGTTCATTAAGCAATAGTATTTTTAAACTTGATGGTGAAAGTAGAACTTACAAAAGTTCTTCAATCAACGGCTAATAAATCATGCAGCAGAGAAGCCATGTATGGATCATTTTCAATCTTTGGCGCACCAAACAGCATAGATACCAATGAGCTCCACATAGAAGCCACCGGAATCTTTCCTTGGCTGATCATTTCCTCAAGCCATAATAGGGCTTCATACATAGTTCCAATGGAGCAGAGTCCTTGAATCACACTAACAAAAATTGTACACTCGGGCCAATATTTCCTCTTGTGCATCTTCTCCAAGACATGAGCCGCCTCAAGATAAAGTCCTTCAGCGCAGAAACCAGTCACCAGAATCTCATATGACTGTTTCGGGGCAACACAACCAAGCTGTTTATCCATTCTATCCAGATAACCCATTGCTCTTGTCGATTCCCCTTTCATGCAAAGCCCCTCCATCACCAGGTTATAGGATCTCACCGTAGGCACACATCCACTCTCCACAATTTCCACCTCCAACACTCTCATTCCATCCTCCACCCTCCCTTCCCTGCAAAGCGCAGCTATCTTTGCCTCATAGATGGATATCGGCGGTCTAAATCCCTTCTGTGTCATTTCATCAAGCATCTTACCAGCGTGAGTAAACTCACTCTCCGCATACAAATCTGTTATCATGGCATCATAGCTCGCGAGGCTTCTAATCCCACGCACCACAAGCGCCTCGTCAATTATCCTCTTCATCTCCTCCAGGTTAGCCGCGATGGAAAGAACCGGCCTTTGGAACGCTTGTCTCGCTCGCGGCGACCTGAGCCCCTTCTTCAGCACCTTGCCAAGTATCTCCTCCGCCAATTCGACCCTTCCTGCGGCGCAGAGGGACTCAAGGAGCGTGCGGTAGACGACGACGTCAGCGTCGCAGCCCTTTCGAGAGATCCTCCACAACATGGAGTAGAGGAGGTGCACGGCGTCGTCGAGCCGGCCGG